CAACCATGCTGTCTCAAACGGCAAAATCTCGTCCTTTTTATGGCTGCATAATATTCCTGTGTGTCTGTGTGTGTTTGTGTGTGTGACACCTTCCTTATCCACTTGTCTATCGGGTGACACTTAGGTTGCTTCCATATCTTGACTATTATAAATAATACTACAATAAACATAGGGGTACAGATGATCTTTTCAAATTAGTGTTTTCATTTTCTTTGTAGCCCTCCTATTTTTACTCACTTTCAGATATGAAAAAAGGGCACATGAAGGTTAAATGGTTCACTGAGATCAGTAATGTGGCCAGCATACAAATTTTCTCTGAGTTCATGCTCACTTCTACTTATTAAGGACAAAAAGTGAAGAAATCACAGATGACTGCAACTGTCGGTTTTGGAAAAGTCCAACAGAATCTAACTGGTTAGGATGATATTTGACTGAGACAATGAGGTTAACACTCTCTCGTTTCAGAGAGATCAATATTTTCATGTTGTTTTTTAAGAAAGATCAAAATCTAAGCATTGTGTCTCACTTCCAGTTGTTCCTAGCATCACACCACAGAGACAGAGTGTGGGAAGGGAGTTTGATTACATAGACAACATAGAAAGGAACCTATTTGGAAGACACTCCAAGAAACTTTGTTGAGACTTAGTTCTTTTTGTAAAACATAAACTCAGAAGTGGAAAGCCTGTTCACCCACTATGAAGTAGCTGGAAGCAAAGGGTGGTGATTTAAAAACAGAATGAGTGTGCAGGTAACATGTAGATTTTGTCTTCAGGGCCATACCTTCTGGAACAGATACGGCATGCAAAGAGAGACAACAAGTAAAATGTTCTTCCAAAACTTTAATTTGCTAATTTCTAAGCTCCATTTCTTCCATGGAACATGTGTCCTAAGACTGAGGGTGAACGATGGGGATAGAAAATACTGAAAGTAGTCTCCTACATTTCTAGAAAATTATTTCCCCCATTCTGGATCCATACTTACAGGAGCAATTCTCGATCTTCTTTGAAGACCTGTACTCTGATGTTGAAACAGGAGTAAAAAAAAAAAAAAGTATAGAGAGGAAGATTAAATATGAACAGGAGTTCCTGGGCCTGCACCATCCCCATATAATCAATCCTCTTCCTGGTACCCCACGCTAAGGACTCTACAAGTAATGGAGTCACTTCTCTGAAGAGCAACGCATGCAAATTATACCCTTACGTAGGCTCTCTCTCCACCATCCTCACCTTCTCCCACCCCCAACTGTGAAGTGGGAAAGACAGTCCTTAAGGTAAAAAGTCGAATTTGGAAGAAACTATGGCCTTGGCCCCTAATTTTAAGGAAAAGATGCTCTGAGAAAAATTGTTTTGCTAGCCACAACAGGCAGCCTGTCCTTTAATTTTGCTAGATGGCAGCTTCCAGGAAAAAAATGATAGCAATGCCTCCCTTACACCCCTAAGCACCTCTCCCAAAGACCAGATAGGCCTCCTGCTTATTATTCTCACACAAAGAAGATGGTATAATATGCACTTCCCCAAAAACTACTAGGGAAAGACAGCACCTTTTAATGTTAGGGGTGGAGAGATGAGTACATCAACCCTTTAAAAATCATTTAGTCGCCTTGACTTGGAAGCATGACACAAATATGTGCCTTTAGGTGAAACCTTGCCCTTGAATCAGCCCTAGCCTTACCTACTTCACTTTATAGTGGTGTCACTTAATGTAGAGCCTTTGTCTGGAGATTATAATTCTTTCTAACCTGCTCTTATTCATTCCGTGATTTTTGTCAAAGTACTTAGTATCTTTGGATGACTTTCATTGCTTTATGAAACGAGGGGCAGAACTAGAATTAAGCCAAAGGTGGGGGAGGAGAAAGAAATAATCTCCCAGTTATTATTATGGTTTCCTGCATACTTTAATGACACTCAGAAGTGATCTCACTCAAGGGTGGACTCTTGTCTCACTTTGATTTAGGACCTTAGAATTGAGTCCAGCATAACATAGCATGGCTCTATCCCAAATTACGAAGAGAAAGGTCTACCTCCACTATGGAATCTCCTCCTCTATATTTGAAAAACATATTCAATATAGAGGAAAGGTCAGAGGTGAATGGGTTGTGCTTTAAGTAGTTTTGAACATAGATGCCATCTAGTCTTTGCAGTCTGCAAAATTCTTCCTTAAGTGAATAAATGTGTAGGGCAACTCTCCATTACCTTGATCAGCATCTAATACCAACCCGACACTTAGAATTAAATTAGAGAAACAAAATTAGATACTTTGAGACTTGAGGGCTGATTATACTACTAGAGCTAAGAGTGGATTTAAACTCTTTCCTTATCCCATTTAAATCTAACTAGATATAAACTCTCCATTACCAAGGAATAAAGGTGTGTCTGCAGAGGTGGAGGTTCCCCTTGATGTTCCTGGACAAGGAAACCTAATCCTTTCTTCTGACACACATGGTTGCAATAGAAAGCGTTCCCCAACTGCCAGTCTGGTTTTAATCTATTGTTTCAAGCAAGATGGGATTTGCAGGGAATGTTAAGGAAAGAGCAAAATTACCAGAACTTACTATAAAATAAAAGCGTTGATGAGAAATCAAATTTTAAACAAGTTTTCAAAATTGTAAGCACGAACATCTGTAGACATACAGTGCATGCCATAAGTATAGTACTATACAGGTTTTTAAATTGTATCTAAAGTCTGCTTTAAGTACAACATTTATATCTCATTTTACTAAAGTTCGTTGGCTTACCAAATAATAGCAGTGGTGAAATACTGCCAATAAATACAGTGATACTTCACATAAAAACACTTGGAAATGAAATATTCCACAAGTGAACTTCTCATGTAACCAAACTATTCCTGCATTATGCAAACTTTTAAAATGTTAATCACTTTGTATGCAAACATTTCAAAAGTGTATTATACAATTTTTCATTAAAAGATACCCTGAATAACACATTTCTCCTGAAGATTCAGGATTAACATTTAAAAAAATACTCATTAAAATATGCTGATTGTAATGCACTTCTTAGAAGAGCAGAAGATGGTGAGTTTACACAATGGTGAGCTTTTTCATGATACTTTCCTAATGCCAAAAGGTTTCAGAATGCCATTGTAAAAAAGGACAAAGGCAGACGAAACTAGCTTGCTTTAAATAAGTCTAGCGTCTTTTCGGTCGGCTTTCTCCTGGATGTTAAAAACATACCAACTCTGACAATTAGTTACATACTTTGTCAAAATAAAATTTAGATTTAAAAGATGTGCTCGCTCTGTGGAAAGTACTATATTAGGTGCTGGGAGAAATATAAGAAATACAAAATAGTCCTTGTCCAAGGAGCAACCTGGCTGGCTGAGTGATGCTCAACAGTCATCAGGTCACCACTGCGATGGGAAACAATTTCTTACTTCTAACTTTGAAAATAATGTACTTCAAAAAATACAGATATTGAAGTTGTTCCACTTGTGCTCGGATATACCTTCTTCAGTGGGAGTATGCCTTGGAAATATCTCCCATGGAAATATTATCAGTCATCTGAGTCACTGTAGATAAGAGACTAAAATTACTGCTTGAGGAAATAAAGTAGGCAGGCCTGTGACAGCTTTCTGCTGTAACCCTCCTTTTATTGCTAGGTTTTATCTTATAATCCAGATGGCTGAGCATGTCGGAAGTGTAACCTTACTAATTCCTAGGGTCATTTAATTTAATTAATAATATATCTGTAAAAAACTGTATTTTAATGCTTTGCTGTATGTATGAGTACAAAACATTTAGGCATGTTTACAAGGGACACTGTGCATTTTTATAATGATCAATTATCACTTCCACTGGCAAGGCCTCTTAGCTGGATTTCAGTAAAGACCACATTTTTGGGGTTCAAAATATCTTTGGACTACTTCTTTTAATTTCCATCATCTGACCATTTCTATTCCATAGATTCTACCTAGTGGTCTCAAAGAGTTCCTTACTTTCAATTACCATGCGTTTTGTAATTTGGATCTCTCTCCTGGGCTCCAGACCTACTTAATGGTCATCACATTTGGAACTACAGCACACACCTCAAACTTACGAGACAAAACCAAACTCAACTGATTTGTTGAAGAGTAACAGTTGATTTTCTCAGGTTTTTTTTTTTGTTTTGTTTTGGCCTTCATCCTTCTAATTCCTTCCGTTTATTTCTACATTACACCAATTGCGCTTTAATTTCACCAGTACAAAAAACCCACTCTTAAGCGATTTTAATGTATGGTTTTAATTCACAAACTCTGTCTTAACCTGTTAGGATTTCAGTTGCTTTAAGAGTATCTCTACCTTTCCCTGTGGAAATGTGGTTAATTTTCAGTATTTGTTCAATGGATAAACAAAAGAAAACACATAAAGAATTCTGACTAATCTCTTCCTGTAGTATGTTTACTGATAGGTTCCTTTCTGTCTGGGAGCTTTCTGAGCGCAGTAGCAGAAGCAGGAGTAGTGTTAATTCTTCTCATAATTTAACCCAAAATGCAAACAATTTCTTCTATCAAGTATCACCTTCTGAAGCCTGCCTTGGACCAGGCTTAAGCGCCACAATCTTAACCAGCACTCTTCCCCAATCTTGGGGTTTGCTTCTATAACGCCTAAAACAGTGCATTATTTATTTGCCTGCTACACACTAGGCCGTATAAGATAGGTGTCTTTGCACCTTCAGCACCTAGCAGATGGTAGGGTTTAACAAACCTAGATCGATTGTAGATCGAATGAATTAATAAGGCCACGTAAGTCTCAAAGGACCACTTACTGCGCTCTAACAGGACTGGGTAGGCCCCATTCCTAGAGACTTCTTAAAAGCTGCCTCTGGATGGCTAGAATCCGAAAGACAATTTACTTGACTTTCTTCCGGTCTAAAACGCTGCTACCAATATCGCCGAAAGAGATTCTCCCACCCGGAAGCCTCCGCAAAAACTAGGTGTCCAAGCCCCACCCCGTTCCTGTCCCCACCTGCTCTGCAAAGACTGGACTCCCGCACGCAGCTGCACAGAGGCAGACCCGGAAGACAGGGGCGCTTACGCAGCAAGCAAAACCGCTGCGACTCAGGGACTGGCTCTCTGGGCAGACGTCACTCAAGTCAATTCGGCTCCGCCTCTCTCAAGATGGCGATGCGCTCAATGCGGAAGGCGCGTGGGTGCTGGAGCTTCATCCGGGCACTTCATAAAGGACCCGAAGCTGCTCAGACTCCCCAGGTAACCATAGTTGGCCTTTCTCCCGCCGGCTTCGCATCCCGCTAGGTCCTTCTCGTCTCCCCTCCCTCGACTGGTTTCTCTCCTCCCGTTTTCTCTAGAGAATACCGAGTCGTTTCTCTCCTAAGGTCTCCTAAGACTGCCTCCCTACTCGGAACGTGGCGACGTTGCAAGGACGCGCGATGATGTCACGCGCCGTGGTGGGAGGAGCGCGCCTCCGCTTGCCCACTTGGCCTCTGCTTCTTTCCCTGAGAGCGGGACACCGCCGCTGTTGCCAGGCAACGCGGGAAGCCAAGTCGGGTGTGAAGTTATCCCATCAGAGAGGGCCGGTCTTTCCCGGGCTGCCCGCCTTCTCGTGGTCCCATAACTATTTCACCCTCCTTTCTGAGGGGCCAGCGGAGAAATTAGAGAGGTCTTGTGAGGAATTGGACGATTTAAGTCCGAGCAGCCACTTGACCTCCTCATTCTGTCAGGGCGGCACTTCTGTGTCAAGTGCAGTGAGTCTTACACTCTGGTTCCTCATTCCCCAAAGTAGACCTGCACAGACCTCCCTCTGTGAGGGAATTGCAGCAAGTTGCCAAAATGCGTCGTCCTGTCCTGCGCCTGGCAGCACTTGCTGTCACCGTTACCGTGTCGTGCCGAGGGCTTGGACACCGGCTTCAACCCACCCCGTCAGTATTTAGAATTTTACCCCCATGGTAAAAATACCGCCTTTCAGTCATTTAGATATTTACTTAACTCATTCAGACATTTACTGAATGTCTTCCAAGTGCGATCTTGGTGGTAGGCACTTTGTTGTACTTCTCTTGGGACATATCTTCAGGGAATTACGAAGAAACTTAAGATTCTGTGATTACTAGGTGATTTCTTGGCATCCTTGCATATTCGTGGTCAAAATGCATAGGTGTGAGGATTTTGTGTGGTAACTGGTATATTGGAAAGAGCACTAGACTTGAAATTAGGAAATCAAAGGTCAAGAGATTTGTCTGACACTTGCTAACTGTGTGACATGGCAAGTCAGTCTCACCGGATTTATTTTCTTTAGCGAAATGGATGGAGGAGGGGTGGGATTGCTTGACCCATTAATGTTCCTTCAAGCTTTCGAAAATCTGTGGCTCCATGATTATGAAGCCAAAGTAAAGCAATAAGATTAATTGTGAAAACCAAGATTTGAGTTTATCTTGTTTTTCCTGTCATCTCATAAATGACTTAATGTTCTGTACTTAAGTTTTCCTCATTGATATGGGCCTCACAAGATTCATTTAAGGGTAAAGGAAATACCAGAGAGCTCTTTGTCAACAAAACAGCTACTTAAATGTTATTTTAAATTTCAGGCATCAATGTTAGGTAAGAGTTGATTCGAAATTAGATAAATCCATTCACTACTTCCTCTTTTTGAAGTTTGAAGGTTTGATTCTGCACAACCAGAATTGGCTGTTTACTATTTTATAGCTAGCTAATAGCATATTAAAACCTGTGGTACCAAAGTAACTAAACCTTAGATCCAAACTTCCTCTCTTTCCAAACCTAAGAGGTGAGGATGTCATGAGAAATAGAAAAATCAAAGAGAAAAGGAAAATAAGCTAGAGCCTACTAATGATTACCCAGGGAATTTTAGGGCACTAAATTATTATAAATGCTAAGAAAAAATATCTTAAAACTCTGGTGTTGTTTCAGTGGAATTAATGAATATGGTTATCTTAAGGTTAATCAACTGCTAATCTAGACAGTTTCTGCTAATGTAGAATTTCCAGAACAGATTAGTGTTTCCAAAACTTTAATTTATCTTTGAGTAGAATAGAAATTAAATAAAAGTGAGAGCATTTCTTTTAAAGTATAAATCTACATGTAATTTTCAGTCATTAAATATGATGGTTTGAAAGACAAATACAGTCTTTTGAAAGACCAACTGAGAAAAGATACAGAATTGTTTTCATAGTGTAATTATAATATTGTTTGTAAATAAATATTTACATAAATATATGCACACAAAAAAAGGCTGGAAGGAAACAACCAGCCTTAACTTTTTTTGTTTTGCTTTGGTCTTCCTGAATAGTGGATTAAAAGTCACTTAAGTTTTCTTCTTTAAGCTTTCTGTATTTTCCACATGTTCAAAATTGAAGATATATCACTTTTAGACCCAGAATAAAGTGTTAAAGCATAAATCTCCATATAAATGCATAGTCATTAATAGCATCTGTGATATTTTGATCTCTAAAGACCTAAAAAGATACTTGTCCCACAGTGCTATTATTAAAATGGCCTTAGAAAAGGACTAGAAATTTATGGGTACTTTTCCTGTATGTATTTTCTTTTTCTCTTGAAAAGCTTCCTTTGAAGTCAAAGCGATTTTTGTGAACAGATGCAGAAATATGTGAAGGAAAAATTGGATTCTTAAACCAGATGCATTAGACGTTTTTATGATACCTCATAACCTTTGTAGAAAACAAAAATTATTTTGCAAGAGTATAGTCTAACAGAAAATATAATTTTATCATATGGATGATTCTATCAAAAACTAAGAAATAGACAAGTTGCTTGTTGCTAGTTTGGTTACACAGTTACTCCTTGAGGTGAGAGGCAAAAGTGGGTGGGCCAAAGCAGTGCTGTGTTGGAAACTATGACTGATAAAGTATTATGATTCCTAGGTTATTTTAATGTTTTCTTTAAAAAAAAATCTTGAGTAATAAGGTTGGCATTGAGGACGTTTAGTTATCTCAAAGGCAGGCTTTTGCCCCTCAAGGCTAGAGATGGGCTCAACTTTAAAATAAAAAATAGAGAGAAATCAGGAATGACAGTGTTTCAAGCCGTACTCATTGTGAGCTGTCTACAATTTATGTGAAAGCGGTTTATTTTGCCAGGTGTTACCTCGCAAAAAACTGTTGACATTTGACAAGATGAGAGTAGTCACAGAGTCAGAGGAATGAAGATTTGACATGCTACATTTAAATACTGATGGCATTAGGTAAATTTAAGCCTGTCATCATTGGCCAAACATAGAATCGACCCTTCTTGAAGCCCTAACTTATGATGGTGTTGTACCAAGAGTAAAATATTGATGGTTAGTAGACGTTTGCAAGAATATTTGTAATCATTCAGTGTAAAATGTCCACATTATGTTGCAGTTGAACAACACACTTTACTGTTAGCTGTCTCAAGCTGGGTGTGGCCAATATTAGCGTACCGTTCCCAATGTTAATGGCTACCAAGTTTAGCCATTAGATGAAGGAATCATCCCTGCAAAAAAACCCAAAAAACCAAAAAAACAAAAACAAAAAACAAAACTAGGCAGTGTACTAAATTGTTCTTGTGTTCAGTTCTCATGACTAGGCTTTTCAAACAATTGCTCCTTTTTTTAACTTTTTTTCTTTTAAAATAATTTCAGATTTACCAAGTTGCAAAATTAGTACACAGTTTTCCTGTACATCCTTCACCAAGCTTCCTTTTACATAATCATAATACAGTGATCTAAGCCAAGAAATAAATTTGGAACAATACTAGCTAAAGACCCATTTCACGTTTCACCAGTTTTTCCACTAGTCTCTTACTGGTCTGGGATCAAATCCAGGATCCCGTGTTGCATTTAGCTGTCATGTCTCCTCCAATTTATGGCACTTTCAGTCTTTCATGACCTTGGCGCTTTTGAAGAGGATTGGTTAATTATTTACTAGAATGTCTCTCAATTTGGGTTTTTCTGATGTTTTCTCGTTATTAGGTTATGGATTTTGGCAAAAATACCACCAAAGAGAGACTAGACTGTTCATAACAAGGCTTTAAGGCAGGTATCAATACCTGATTTTAAATCATGAGGAAACTGACTTTAGTTAAATAACTATCCTAAAATCACAACGCTAATTAATTGTGGAATTAGGATGGTAAAATTTACTATCGGGATTTCCTTCCCTATTTTGCAATTAATATTTGTTGTTATAGGTTTCTGTGATCTTAATGACATTAAAATGGGGAAGTGTTCCCAGTGACTTTTCCTTTAGCTTGTCTGCTATGTATTGTCCATCCAACTTGCACCAAGAGCTAATCAGCATGGAGAGCTATCAGGAGCTTCTGTAGCCATCATTTTGCAAGACAATAACTGGGCTGGTTTGAGGGGGCTATTTCATCTCTGTGCTTTTCTTAAATGGTGTTGCATGGACCCACTCGAATGCGCCATTTAAGCTCAATCAGCCTAGGAGTCCATTCACTTAAAATCCTCTTTAGATTGGTTTTCCTTGCGAACTGACTTAGCTTATTAGAAATAATAATTTTTAAAACTATATTTGAGTAGATAATGGAAACTACTCATGGTAACTGATGAAAATATAGAGGAGGAACAGTGAGTAGATGCTGAGGATTTTTGCTAGAAACTATTCTGGCATCCATAGCCAGGAAATGCTAAAGAGAGTAAGGCTGCTCCCTGAGATCCTTTCTCAGTCTACCTGTTGCATGGCTGCAGGTTACAAAAGAACTATCTGCAGAGCCTTACACAAGTATATAGATTTAAGCCTATATCCATACATAACTCTATCTTTCAGAAAAGGAACGGACATTTAGCTAGCACCTTCAGTGCTAAGGCCCTGTGCTATGTGCTATACACACTTTATCTTATCCTGTAAATATTATTCTACCCATTTTATAAAAGAGGAAACTAAGGCTCCGAAAGATTAGGTAACTTTCCTAAGTCAGAGCTAGTAAATGGCGGTACCAGGATTCAGATTCATCTTCGTCTGTGCTTTTTCCACCTGACCAGTGGTGTTCTCTTACCAAATAAAGTCTTGTATCAATCCCTGTTAGATAAAACATAAAAGCAGAGCTTTTCTGATTTCAGGAATAGAAGAGTAGCTAGAGCCCTGCCTGCTTGACCTCACCGCCCCCACCCCCCCCATACCACCCTCCCTCCACACACAGTGGCCCAGGAGATGGTGCCACACAATCTTAAATTTTTTATGATGACGTTTGAAAAATACTTCAGCTTCCTAACATATCCAAGTAAGTTTGTTGGCTGAGGA